CCACCTATCAGGGGAATGTGGGGTTGGGCCACGGCCGGCCATTGCCGCTCGAAAGCACTGGAGACGCTGTAGTACATATGCCAGGCCTGTAAGTGGCGCTGTAGTCTGCCACAAAAGCAGCGAAGAATACTTCCCGCGCATGGTTACCATGGTTGCCCTTCTGTTTATTCTCCGCTGTGGCTTTTTTTCTCCCTCCCCGAGGCAAGCGTTTGCTCCCGCTGCTTTAATTCAATGCAATCCCTCCCCGTCGAGGCAAGCACTGTAATTCTCTCCGGTTAGTCCACCAGCAGATGACAAACACCCACTTCCAAGGAACGAGGGGACCGTGCGGCAGAGTTTCAGTTAGGTTTAAATCTTCCAGACAAAATTAGAAAAGTGCCGGTCAAAGGTCTTCTTTGTTATTTATTGAGCTTTAAAACAAATGAATAACGACTATATATAATAGAGGACGGAGATCTCTTTTTCTCCCCCTCTTCTGACTTGATCAGAGCGCGCTCCCCTCTCCTGCAGGGGGGCGTGGTCAGCTGCAGCTCACAGAATCAGCCCCCTGCAAAAACAGGGCTGGAAAGAGCAAATGGAGCGAAATGAGGCATGGCTAAAATGCAGGATCTGTTTGGTATTTTGAAAAAAAAACTATATTTATATACTTTATATAGGTATGGACCTACAATATATTGTTCAAATATAGCATGATAGGTCCACTTTAACATCTGTCTTTCTTACAGCTGGAAGAAAAAGAGTGCGTCTACACGCGCTCAGTCGCTCTTTTCTCTGGCTAAAGGCCTGGAGGCGAAGAGGCGGGACTTAAGTGTGTCAATCAACACTCAGACCGGCCTCTCATTGGACAAGGCCGACGAGGAGGTGGAGCTTAGCATCGCCAGGCTCAATGATTGGGCGGCTTACTGCGACAAACTGCAAGGAGGAACTCCAGTAAGGCTTTTATTTATTTTATACATAGTTTATATATATAAGTGTATCCAATACAGTGGTGCAGGGATGTGGTATTTCTGTGTTGGACCCTGAAGGCATCATCTCCGTGGTCCAATAGGATTTCTCCATGTGACATATGTCCATAGTTCCTTTATAGCCCAACATTAGCCACCTTTAGCTTAGCGGTGGTGACGTGAAGTCATGTGACCGTGCTGTAGTTCCTTTATAGCCCAACATTAGCCGCCTTTAGCTTAGCGGTGGTGACGTGAAGTCATGTGACCGTGCTGTAGTTCCTTTATAGCCCAACATTAGCCGCCTTTAGCTTAGCGGTGGTGACGTGAAGTCATGTGACCGTGCTGTAGTTCCTTTATAGCCCAACATTAGCCTCCTTTAGCTTAGCGGTGGTGACGTGAAGTCATGTGACCGTGCTGTAGTTCCTTTATAGCCCAACATTAGCCACCTTTAGCTTAGCGGTGGTGACGTGAAGTCATGTGACCGTGCTGTAGTTCCTTTATAGCCCAACATTAGCCTCCTTTAGCTTAGCGGTGGTGACGTGAAGTCATGTGACCGTGCTGTAGTTCCTTTATAGCCCAACATTAGCCACCTTTAGCTTAGCGGTGGTGACGTAAAGTCATGTGACCGTGCTGTAGTTCCTTTCTAGCCCACCATTAGCTTTTTACTTCAAAGGTGAGACATGGAGATGCTGCCTTCAGGGTCAAACACAGAAATAAGTCCTCCCTGCTCCTCTCTATGTTGATGATTCTCAGTAACATGGTAACTCTCTCTCTCTCTTTCTCTCTCTCTCCCCCCCCCCCCAGTCTCTCCCCCTCTCTGGCTCTGCTCTCTCCCTCCCTGAGGCTTTGGGAGTAGTGGGAGTCGTCCTCCCCGATGAGAACCCTCTCCTCTCTATGGTCACTCTGCTCGGAGCAGCTATCTCTTTTGGAAACGCTGTCATCTTGATCCCCAGTGAGAAGAATCCACTTCCTGCCCTGACTTTCATTCAGGTATATGGGACATCCTTCAAAATAAAAGAATGTATGTGTAACTGTAAATACTGATGTTCCTCCTCCTCTTCCTCCTCTTCCTCAGGTGCTCCAGGCTTCAGATCTTCCTGCAGGATTAGTGAATATCATCACTGGTTATAAAGATCAGCTGACGGTCGCTCTGGCCAATCACAGCGTCATTAAGGCCATCTGGTACTGGGGCAGCGCTGAGGTAAACACACACACATACACACACAAGCACAAATACACACACATACACACACACACACACACACACACACACACACACACACACACACACACACAAACTTAAACAGGCAATTTCATATATTATTTTATTCTTATATTTGTGGAGAGCTGGAAACGTTGGATTCATGATGGATGAACTGTCCGCACTAGATACAAATATTTATATATATTTTTGGGCATTTATAATTTTTATGTATATATATTTAAAAAAATAATTTGTATTTTTTTCAATTTCAATTTTCAATTTATTTGTTTTATTTTTACATTTTGATATTGTAAGTTTGAATATTTTTATACTTTTATATTTTATACATTTATATAGATTTTTTGTTTACGTATTTCGTTTTTATATAGATTTTTTATATTATATAATGTACATATAAAATCTTATTTTATTTATCCATTGAATGCTCAGTCTAACCCGTTCTTCACCGATCAAAGAAATTACATAATTATTCAATATAAAATAAAAAAATACAAATTACAAAGTTATTTTTTATGAACCCCCTGTTTCTCCGGTTCTCTTCAGGGATGTCAGTTCCTCCAGCACTCCTGCAGCTCTCCTCTGAAAACACTGCTGCTCTCCATCCAGCAGAAAGGGGGAGAAAGGGGGAGAGACTGGACTCACCCCTCCATCCTGGAGGAGATGGGGAGGAACGCCGTGCAGTGGAAGAGCATCTGGATCCCCACGGCATGAGGGGGAGAGAGGGGGAGATAACAGCTGTTAAAGGGGGAGAGAGGGGGAGATAACAGCTGTTAAAGGGGGAGAGAGGGGGAGATAACAGCTGTTAAAGGGGGAGAAAGAGGGAGATATCTGTGGAGAAAGAGGGAGATATCTGCTGATTAAAGGGGGAGATATCTGCTGATTAAAGGGGGAGATATCTGCTGATTAAAGGGGGAGATATCTGCTGATTAAAGGGGGAGAAAGAGTGAGATATCTGCTGATTAAAGGGGGAGATATCTGCTGATTTAAAGGGGGAGAAAGAGTGAGATATCTGCTGATGAAAGCAGGAGATATCTGCTGATTTAAAGGGGGAGAAAAAGGGAGATATCTGCTGTTAAAGGGGAAGAAAGAGTGAGATATCTGCTGATTAAAGGGGGAGATATCTGCTGATTAAAGGGGGAGATATCTTTATAATGAAAGGATCCGTTTTAATTGAAAGAGAATTGGTACCAAACAAGAATTGAATGTCAAAATGTCTTAGTATTTGTTTTTAAATGACCTTTTATTTCACTGTTTTTCCACAATTTCTTGTTTAACTTTTTGTGGAAACGAGCTATTCTTCAGATCAGAAGTTAGCCATCTATGATACCTGAAGAAATGTGAGAAAGAGAAACGTCAACCGGACAAAAATAGAGCAAAATCAAGTGAGTGAGCAGAATGAGAAATAAAGAGATTACATATATTAACGTCTTAAATATTAAAGACTAAAATGAAGCACTTAAAACAGACTGACTTTACTGAAAACTTCAAAAAACGTACTTTCATGAAGGCCACATGTGATGAAGTTTATTCCTCTAATATGTCAGAATAAACTACATTACCTGCGTCCTTTATAATGACTATTCTGTCAATTAAATGTAATAATACGCTTAATTTTTGGTGTGTTTTGCAGTATTTAGACGATAATGAAGGATGATTCACAGATAATATGAGTTTGTAGGAGCGAGTCACGGTTAGATCAGGTGTTTTGGAAGGAATTGTTGATCATAAATAGCAAAAAACTAGCAAACATCTATTGTTAGAGTTAACTCAGTGACCTTATGTGCCAAATATATAAAGTATAGGTTGAGAAAACACCACAATAACATGACAAAATGGCTAAAGAGAGAGATGCTATTCCTGTAGCATGAACACAGGATGACTTTCTACCTCTAGATTTTGCTATATGTTGTGTTTCTGTGTTGGTCCCTGAAGGCACCATCTCCTGCTCCAATGGGATTTCAGAGGTAGAATAAAATGTCTTATTTTTCTTGAATACATTCCTTTTATAAACCTGAAACCTAGTCTGCCTTATGACTCAGCATTAAACGATCAATGTTGTGACCATGAAATCAAAATGTACTGTTTATGTTTATTACTGAACAATAATGCAAACCTTTAAAGCCATTAAAAACACATTCCCTCTGAAATGTGTCTTCTTTGGGTCAAAATGCAGTTATGTTAAGAATGTGTGTGTTTAAAATCTGTGTGTGTTTTCCTTTATAGCTCAACATTAGCCGCCTTTAGTTTAGAGGTGGTGACGTGAAGTCATGTGACCGTGCTGTAGTTCCTTCATAGCCCAACATTAGCCACCTTTAGCTTAGCGGTGGTGACGTGAAGTCATGTGACCGTGCTGTAGTTCCTTTATAGCCCAACATTAGCCACCTTTAGCTTAGCGGTGGTGACGTGAAGTCATGTGACCGTGCTGTAGTTCCTTCATAGCCCAACATTAGCCACCTTTAGCTTAGCGGTGGTGACGTGAAGTCATGTGATCGTGCTGTAGTTCCTTCATAGCCCAACATTAGCCGCCTTTAGCTTAGCGGTGGTGACGTGAAGTCATGTGACCGTGCTGTAGTTCCTTCATAGCCCAACATTAGCCACCTTTAGCTTAGCGGTGGTGACCGTGCTGTAGTTCCTTTATAGCCCAACATTAGCCACCTTTAGCTTAGCGGCGGTTAAATAATAAAACATGCAGGTTGTTCTTCAATATATGACATGTGTAATATACGCAGTTATGACATCAGACACACTTTGGTTAAAACCTCGTCCAGTTATCTCTTCCTTTATTTTACTCTCTTGTTCCTCTTGTATTTCCCCGAGCTGTCTGCACTGAAGTGAACTTCCTGTGAGACAGATCACAAGATGCTGAGTCGTAACCATGACTCAGCAAAATCCCTCACGTGATACAAGACTTGACTTATCATGTTACATGACACAGCATTAAAAAAACTATTTGCAGGTATGAGAATGTGGGATATAAAGTTAAAACGCTTTATAGTTCTTTAAAATTCAGTTGTATTTCTCCTGGTTCGTGGGAAACACAGTTAAGGCTGCATCACTTCCTGTTTTCAGACCATTAAAGTAACCTTGAGAGACGTTTGCATGTATAAGCGTGTATACCACAATGTGAACCGTGTTTATTACATCCCGTGTTTTATTATCATTAGCAGTCTTCCATGCAGGTTAATAGCTTCTTTATCAGTGATCAACTTATTAGAAAAGTGTCCTTGTGGAAAACGCTGAGTCATCTGATCAAAGAGCCATCATCATCATCATCATCATCATCATCATCATCATCATCATCATCATCATCATCATCAACCACATCAGAGTTTCTAGAAGTTTTCACAGGCCTTGATTAAAAAAGCAAAGTAAAGACGATGGGTAAGAAAAGATGGGATAAAGTGTTCCTAGAAATTAATGAATATTCAGAGAGAGAGAGACTTCAGCCTAACCAACCTTTAGACTATTGATAGAAACTATAACCACTTTTCTTACTTAAAATAACTAAGTACATTTACTCAATACTACTTAAGTACATGGTGTATTTCTACTCCACTACAGTTCAGAGGTAAATGGTGTACTTTTACTCCACTACATGTATTTAATCCCTTTAGTTACTTCACAGATGTGGATGAATGATGTGAAATATAATCAAGTGTTAAATCAGACTTTAGTTCCACCTGGAGTAAATTCACAAGCTACCCTGCAGTATACAAAGTCATTCAAACTAGCTGCACCTTTACCAGCTTTGAGAACACTTTAATGATCAATCATTATAAAACATATCATATATATTATTCTGAAATGGACCAATCTGCACAATGACTACTTTTACTGTCGCTACTTTCACTATATTTTGATGAGAATACTTTTCTACTTTTACTTGAGGAACATTTTGAATGCAGGACTTTTACTGTAACAGAGTATTCCTACACTCTGGTACTTCTACTTTTACTCAAGTACAAGATCTGAGTACTTCTACTTTTACTCAAGTACAAGATCTGAGAACTTCTACTTTTACTCAAGTACAAGATCTGAGTACTTCTACTTTTACTCAAGTACTAGACCGGAGTACTTCTACTTTTACTCAAGTACAAGAACTGAGTATTTCTACTTTTACTCAAGTACAAGATCTGTGTACTTCTACTTTTACTCAAGTACCAGATCTGAGTACTTCTACTTCTAAACTTTACAAAAACTTGAGACTCACTGTAGGAGTTAGTATTATAAGCAGATTGTAGTTGCATTGAGCGTAATAAGGAGATGTTTTTGTATAAACTGGTGGCTAGTTTAATTTGTATGTTCGCTGAATAAGCAAGATAAATATTTGAATAAAATACAAGTACCTGCCATTTGTCCTTTAGCATACCACATGATGTGTTTCAGGAAGTGCAGGACGAACAGAGCAGACTGGGTTTGGCTCTGAGTGGAAAAATACTGGCTCGGTGTCATATCACTTATAAGGAGATCCTGTTGTCTTGCACTATTTAAATAAAGTTAAAAAGTATGCTAGATATTAACAGAAGTTTACATAAAGAAAAACCCTCAAACCTGATATTTATCTTAAGGTTTTTAAGTATTTTTAGGAACAGATTGCATGAGGTTTGGTTGTCCTTACGCAGGTATGAAATACACAATAATGCAAATATGTATTTGTGTTAGAAAGGCTCACACACGTCTATCTCTATCTATTAAACACTAACCACCTAGCTTAGCACTTTTTTACTTTAGTTGTTATTTTGTTTCTTTGTTACTTGCTTGTAAAGCGCTTTGAGCACCAGGAAAAGCGCTATATAAATGTAATGTATTATTATTTATTATTATTAACCCCTTCATCCAAACCATCAGAAACGTGACTGAGACTCAACTGCAACACGTTTTACATTCACATACTTATTTTTAAAAAGCAGCTTTGTTCCCATCTTCATGCAAATACAGCATTTTCTTGTTGTTTCTGCAGACAGAGGACTTCTCAGACGCTCAGTGTTTCTCAACAGCGCTGTGGTGTTGAGTAATGCAATAAAAAGCACCTTGAAAACAGCGAGTCAGCTGTTCTGTTACAGCTTGTGGTAGAACAAGTTTATTGCAGTTATTAGGACAAAGTTAACTTCAATAAAATCAGAAGGGTTTGGATTCTTAACTCAAGTACACATTTTAAAACTACACTTTAAGTAAAAGTCCTGCATTGGAAATGTTAGTTAAGTAAAAGTAAGTATAATGAGCAAAACGTACTAAAAGTCTGCAGAATTCTTTTAAATAATAACATACCCAAAAAAAAACTACATAATTACAAAAATGAAATACATTTTGTTGCATTTAAGTAAAAACTACAGTATTTACTTGCATTGGAGTAGAGGTAAAGTGGCTTGTTGCTCAATTTTAGAATAGAATAAAACAAAAAGGTAAAATAAAATATGATAAAATATTTATAAAAACATAAGAAGTAAAAGTTAAATGTGGAATAGAAAGGTTTTAAAAAAAGTCACCTAATAGAAAAATATTTATATTAATATTTAAAGTTAAAATGTGCAAAAGAAAATATGGATAAAATGAAATTAATTATAATAAGAAATATGTATATGACATTTTCTGTATATAAACTTGATGTCAAAACTGCTGAGTCATTGTCACCAGTCTGAAGAGAGAATGCTTAGTCACCGTCACGTGATCTCCAAAGCTCACTGATTGGAGGAAATGCTTAGTGACGCCACGACCCCGTCTGGTATAAATACAAGGAGCGACTCAACTGCCATTTCACACCCGGGAAGAAACAAAGAAACAGTTCTTGCTTCAACAGTGTTTGAACGGAACTTTTCCTTCATCTCGATCTGAATTCGCACTTAAATCCATTCCGGACACACAGGAAAAAACCTCTGCTTCAATTTGCACTACCGAAGAGTCTTCGTAAGCTATATTTGTGTACCATTTTGTTAAGAAAAACAGCGAAGAAACGCCAGTTGATATGGATTCCCAGGTGAGACAGAACTACCACCGCGACTGCGAGGCGGCCGTTAACCGAATGCTGAACATGGAGCTTTTCGCCTCCTACTCCTACACCTCCATGGTAAGAAACACTATTTTTATCATTAAATACACGGAGCTCTTCGCCTCCATCTTAAGAACAAAACTCAATGTTCACAATTTTCAATGGCTAGAAACCCGTATCAGAACACTGCGTATCCCTCCGCACCGACATCAGTTTATTTGCGCGGCACTATTTTCTACAGTTTGTTGATAGTGTGTACTTACACTGACAGACTTCCAATGTGTTTATTTGTACTTTAACGGAGTATTATGATTATGATCCTGCATTTACTTTGACTTCACACAATTTCAGAGGCAAATATTCTACTTTTTCCTCTATTTTAAACGTATTTTATAGTTAATTTTACATATAAAAACACATGGTGCAAACTTTTCTTATAAATTATGTCTAGAACCATTCTGCATACAAACTACTCTTATTGTTGATACTTGAAGTACATTTTAGTGATAATACTTGTGTACTTCTGCCCAAAAAAATGCTGTGTCATGCTTGCGCTGGTTATTATCCCCACCCTGAAATCATGACTCATGTTTCTGTCTGCCCTCTGCTCATAACGACCGTTTATCTCGACCTGTTCTGTGTGTAATGACCGGTCTGTTTTCTAATCACTGTCTTCTGTCTGCAGGCCTTTTATTTCTCCCGTGACGATGTGGCCCTGCCCGGCTTCGCTCACTTCTTCAAGGAGAACAGCGATGAGGAGCGAGAGCACGCCGACAAGCTGCTCACCTTCCAGAACAGTCGAGGAGGACGCATCTTCCTGCAGGACATCAAGGTAAACATCTGTCAGAACGTCATGTCTGCAGGACGTCTACGATAATACTTTAATGGTCAGATCAAGTCTGAAATGCTCCTTGCATCACAGCTGCTCCATGTGTAACATCAACAGACGGATATCAAGACACAACACATGAAAAACAAACGACAAACATTTAACATAACAGCACAATCAGTGAGAGCTGCTCAAAGAGCCTTCAGCCTTTTAGTCAAGGTGAGCGTCTGTTAGGACAAAATGTCTGCCAGACGCACCCTGAGATAAGTCTACCAGATAAACTGCTGAGTCACTCAATCCACCCACCTCCTGTTTATGCAACGCTCTGTAAA